TATTGTGGATCTTAATACATTAAAAATCAATACTGTGGATTTTATTACTCATGGATCTTATGAGTGGATTTTATTACCATGTGGATTATGTGTGGATCTTATTACCATGTGGATTATGTGTGGATGTTATTACTGTATTACGTATTATTGTATTACTGTGAATCCTATTACTGTATTACTCTATTACGTGTGGATCTTAGTGGATTTGTGGATTTTATTTCCCTGTGTATTAGCATGTGGATCTTATTGCCTTAATATTTTGGAACTTAATATATTAAAAAAGTTTTTTAAGATTTTAAATACACAGAAAACTAAAAATACTAGCTGTCCGGACCCGTAAAACACGGGTCTTGGTAAGTCTATACTACACAGACCATTGAAAATATTGATGTAAAGAATAAGTATAGATACTTATTCTTTACTTCAATATTTTTAATAGGTAGACAATATGTGAGTAAAAACAAAACAAATCTTTTATCTATTAAAGTAATGAATAAAAAATTATTTATAACATTAACTTTTAAACGCATTAAAAACTATCAAACGCTTTTGTAGTCGTTGCGCGAACCGCTATTTATCAGCGGTTTGGTTTTTAGTACCCGAAGCAGGTATTCTAAATAATATCAAATACTTAAATTTTGTTGATTAATTATAATTGGTATAAAAAGTTTAAAAAGTATTAGACTTGAAAATATGCGTTACTATGACCCGTATAAATGCTACTATGACCCGTATAAATGTAATACTATGACCCGTATAAATGAATTTTTTTCTTCTTCGCACTTTACGGAAACAACTTCAAAAAAAACAAAAAAACATTTTAATTTTTGTTTACAGCGTTGGCCCCTGGTTTGTATTTACAAAAAAAGAAAAAAAGAAAAAAGTAAAAAATGAATAAAAATAAAAATGAAAATAAAAGAAAACAATAAGTTAGTTGAGAACAAAAAGACTTTTCCTTAAATAATTTTTTAACTTTCTTAATATCGCCTTTTTTATTTCAATTTTCACCTATAATTATACAATTATTAGTAATTTTTATATTTTAAAGCAGGTTTTTAAATTAACCAAACCAAAGCACTGATGTAAGATACAGCACACCATAGCGCTATTGTGTGGGCGTGTTGTGGTATTTACTGCTAAATACTATTTATCTATTAGTGGTATTAAGCGGTAATAGCACAACACGCTCACACAAAGTTAGCCTTAAGTAATATCAAAATACTGCTTCTCTTGCTTTAAAATTAAAAAATTGGGATATGTTTCAAAAGATTCCTTTTTTTTAATTCAAGTAAAATTTTCAGATGTAAGCAATAAAAACAGATGTTTTGCTTGAACAGTGGGTATATACAAGCAAAACATCTGCTTTTACTAAAAGAGTTTTTATAACTTACTTGTGAATTGACAAATCCACGAGCAAGTTATAAAAGTCAACACAAATTCTGATGTCAAAGCCTACAAAGTCTCATCAGTTAGCAAATTGTTTCTTTACTTTTAGGTATTAAACTCTGGCTTAAGAGTTTAATACTTGAGCACCCACTTTAAAAGGTCATGTTGGTCCAAGAAAACCGATTAATGAGCTAAATATCCATATAAAAACCTTGATGAAGTTTGTAAAACATACATTTAAGTGCATAAACTTTTAAGTCTACATTTAGGTGCATAAACTTTTAAACAGTAAATAAACAGATATATATATATATATATATATATATATATATATATATATATATATATATATATATATATATATATATATATATATATATATATATATATATATATACATATACCATCAGATGGGGTAATATGCATGTTAAGCATATTTATCAGTTTTTGCTTAAATATGCTAAAGTTTTAACGATTTAATGTCCCACTCTTGATACTTTTCATAGCCCAATATTAATCTGATATTTTAATGTTTGTTATAAAAAAATTAAAATAATACTCTTGTTTTTAAATGTTTTTCATATGTCATTATTTTTGCCTTTTCAGATTTTAAAAACTCTAACTATTGCCAAGCAAATATTTGTTAGACAAAATAGCCAAAAAAAAAAAATTTTATTTAATTTTTTTTATTTTTTTATTCAACCATATCAATAAAAATTTACAAATCTCATGGTAAATTAATATAATTTGGTTAGGTGTCACTCATAGTTACAAACTAGTCAATGGAGTGATACCTAAAAAACATAAAATTCTCAAAAAAATAAAGAAATTAAAACAAAAAAAATGTATCTATATATATATATATATATATATATATATATATATATATATATATATATATATATATATATATATATATATATATATATATATATATATATATATATATATATATATATATATATATATATATGAGAGAAAAAAAAGAAAAGTTAGTTAAATAATAATGATATATATAATAGTTATAGTAATAATACAAAATAATAACAATAATAATGAAGTATCAATAATATTAAGAATATTTATAATACAATATAAATTGTATGTACATATCATAGATAATAATTAAAAATAGCAATAACAACACGTTAATAAATAAATATAATATAGATAAATAATAAATAAAGCAAAAATCAAACTACTCGCTTGTTAAAGAAATTATATAATAAAGACAATTACAGTATAGAGATAAATTATAAAGAAATTATAAAAAACACTCTAACAATATATTCTTAAATTGAACTCTGTTGAGCTGTAAATAATCTGTAACAAGAGGATATTCTTTTTTAGACTTTTCTATTAATGCAGGAATACACTGGTTCCAATCGGAAATACATTGTTTTATGGAAAAGATTCTAAATGTAATATAAACCAATAATAGTTGAAACAGATGATAGTTTTAAAATTACAAAAGATTTTTTGCACAGAAGTGAGCAAAAATCTTTTGTAATTTTAAAACATTGTGATAGTGATATATTTGTGACATTGATATATTCTACAATTATTTTCTACAACTCAGTGTAATTATGACATATATATATATTAAAAACAATTGATAGTAAATCTTCACTTTGGTAGTAGGTTGTTATGTAGATTAAATAGATCTTTGATCTATTTAATTAACTCTAACAGTCTACTACCTTATTAATAATAGACTTTAATTATTTTCTACAACTCAGTATAATTATAACATATATATATTATTTTAACTAGACCTCTATGAACTACTTACGTAAATGAATTTTAAAGCTTAAAGCATTTACCTTAAGATAAGTGGGGTAAATAGGCCATTTTAAAAATTGGAGTAATATGGCCATTTAGTAATTTGGTTGATAAATTTGTTATATTTTTTATTTATCAGTTGCAATATGCCATGCATATGTACACAGTAACTACCCTAAAAAGCAACTGGAAAAGACTATGAATGCTGTTGCTGCTTGTATTCTGTTTAAAAAATAGTATTTCTATAAGACCTACAAAGTTAAAAAGATCAATTATTAGAAATTATCCATGTGTAAGACCAAAAATTTGTGGAAACCTTATTGAGCTGCTATTCCTATTGATGAAGAGCTTGTTTTTACTCAAAATTGAGCCATGACAAAGCACTTGAACAGGGTGAAGAGCTTTGGGATCTGGCTGCATTAAGACACTTCATTAAAAATTTAATTCCTTGACAAACACAAGCGAACTTCTCTGGGCAAGATTAGATTACAGATTTTTGAAAAGGCAACACAACCTAATTTTACAGAGAAATGGTCAGGTCATTTTAAGGATTGGCGCAGCTGTAAATGAGGAACAACTTATTTTTTTTTTCATCATTTTGCACAAACTGATCAAGGACATCGTTCTTCTAATGTAATGAACTATGATAAGACTAATCTCAGCAAAAACCCTGGCTCCAAGAAAATGAATTATAGAAAGGCCACAATCCAGATACCATTATAAAGATTGAAATGTCTTAGCAATTTGTTTTATTTAATTGAATTTTTGGAGTTTTTTTATTTAATTGCATTTGTATTTGTATTTTGAACTTTATTTTAAAAATATAGTTGTAGGATTCAAAACATACTTCCTTTAATTTCATAAACATGTATTGATATATGTTTTATTGTTTAATTTAGGTTTTTTGTTAAATGGCATAACTACACCATAATTGGACTTTTTAAAAATAATTTTCATTAATAATAGTTAATAACTTTAAAGCCACATTTGATTTTACACAGCTGATTTTAAAATTTAATGTGTATAAGTTATTCTTGAATAAAGCTTACAAACTTAAAGCTTTTTTTTAATTTTTTTTGTATTTTATTTGATAATCTAGCTTGTGGTTTGTGATTTTCTATAATTTCATAATCATGTATTGTAATGTTATGTTTAAATTATGTATTTTTTTGTTAAGTGGCCAAATTATCCCATTTTTAGCTTTTTCAAAAATGATTTTCAATCATAAATTGTGGTTAAAATTTTAAAGCTACATATGATTGCATCTTGTAGTTCTTGAATAAAATCTACAAGTTTATAGTTTATAATATTCCAGTGTTCAAAACTTATGACCATATAAAGTTTGAACACCACTCAATTTGAGGGGATTACAAAATTTTATATGGTCATACTTTTTGAACGTTGAAAGATTATACTATGAAACTTGAAATTTTTTGTTGAAAATAGTACAAAGTCTTGTTGAGAATAGTACAAATAAAAATTTTATTAACTTGTTGCTCTCACATTTGGGGCAGGGGCGGCAAATTTTCGGACTATTTTGTACCCAGGCTCCAAACATCACAATTTTTTGCAAAGTATCTTTATTTGACATAAATATAATCATATAAATGTTTGGAGCTTGCTCTATGACTAGAAGTTAGCCAAATACAAAAATATCCTGGATCTGCTCTTTTACTAGTATTTTAAACATCTATTTTAAATACTTTTGAAGTATTTTTATTTTGTATTTCAAATACTTTTTTAATCAAGTGTTTTGTATTTAAAATACAACTTTGGATGTATTTTGTATTTTTATTGTTTTTCAAAATACAAAATACCTTTTAATTTTTTTGCTTAAAGATTTTTTAGCTAGTAATATTTAAAACATGGCTGATTATAGGCCATGTGAATAAAAAAAAGCATTTCCTTTCACTGACCATTGTTGGAGTAGTGTCTCAGCTTTACATGATTATGTAAGGCTGACATTCCTTAATTGATTAGAATTGGATGAGGTTTATATAAATAACAGTACAGGAGAGCAATAGCCAATTGCTCAAAACTATGGTCACATCAAGCATCGACATCAGGAACTGATGATTTTTTTGAATTCAAATCACTAAATCTACATACAAGCTAGTCAGTCAACAGTCACTATCGAGTGTTTACAATATCCAGTTGTTAAGAAACTTTTCAGAGTTGTTAATGCAACTATTCCATTGTCTGCTCCAATACTATACTATTAAAATGTATGAAAAAAATGTTTTCTTAAATACTGTATAATTAATTTATTAATAAGTACTATAAAAATAATAATTGTGTTATTTGCTAGGTTCATCATGCAAAACTTGGAGAAGGATATATGAAAAATCTTGTTGTTATTAATAATTTCAAGTAAGATAGTTTATTAATTACTTTAATTATTTTTTAAGTTTATTTTTAATTCTTTTATATAAATAATATTTGCAAAATATTTTTTGATTGATAAAATCTCTTTTATGTTAATTGACAGCTGTTTTGTACCAGTTGACATTAAGTTTTTGTAACAAGTGATTTTTTATTAAGTAAATATTTATTTCACTTAAAACTTAGCTTATATATATATATATATATATATATATATATATATATATATATATATATATATATATATATATATATATATATATATATATATATATATATATATATATATATATAATATATATACATATGTTTATATGTATATATGTATATATATATATATGTATATATATATATATTTATTTATATATATATATAATATATATATATATATATACATATGTTTATATGTATATATATATATATATATACATATGTTTATATGTATATATGTATATGTGTATATATATATATATATATATATATATATATATATATATATATATATGTATATGTGTATATATATATATATATATATATATATATATATATATATATATATATATATATATATATATATATATATATATATATATATATATATATATGTATGTATATATATATATGTATACATATACAGTCTTTCACGTGTGATCATACATCTTTATATGACCACGCAAAAAATAATGTTTTAACAATTTGACCATGGCTTTTGATATATTTTCAAAATTTAAATATGGGCTACAAGAACTTACCTAAACTTATCTAAAAAAAAACTTTTAAAAAGAAAAAAAAATCTTAATGAAAGAGAAAATAAAAAAAACCATTTCAATATTTGTTTTAACATTTGTATTTTGTTTTGTTTTTATTTAATATGTTTAAAAATTAAACATTTTTTTAAAAAAATACATAATTATACCCAGCCAGCAAGCCATACTGGGGCCCAAGTGGGAAGCTTTATGGGGCCCAAATGGGTTGCCCACATCCCGCCCAAGGAAAATTGTTGCTGGGCATGAATTGGGGCCCAAGTGGGACCCACATGGTCCCAGTTTTTATTTATTTAAATTTTTTATAATATTTTGAGTAATTATTTATAAATTAGATACATATAATTTAATGTGTAGTCATAATTATATGACTTGAGTCTAGCTTTGTAGAAGTAAAACAGGATATCAAATATAGGAAAAAAAAGGTAAATAGTAGTAGACATTAGTAAATATACCACAGTATTTAAGTAGCAAAAATAGTAAAAGTAATAGTCAAATATAGTTAAGTAAATTCTAAAGTTTAACTAAAAGTAAAAACCTAAAGTTTAACTAACTCATAAATGTTATTAAATTCTCTTTAAGAAGTGTCAATTTGTTTGCATTTTTGCTTGTGGGTTTATAAAAACTCAAATAGTGTATACACTTTCAAAAACTTTTTTATACATTAAAAAAAAAATATTTCAGTCTTTTAAAACTGACTTTGTAACTTTTTGCTTAAGTTCTCTTTAATGTTTAAAGAAGTAATTTTCAAATACAATTTAAAACTCTTTTACTACCACTAATACATGACATTAATATCACTATGAGGAAAATTTTTGAAAAAGATTATTTTTTATTCATGGACCAAGTCTTTAAATTTTTTTACTGATTTTTCACGATTCATAATGCCTCATTATAGCGCAATTGGATGGCATTTTAATTTAGAAAATAAGATGGAATTTTACGCTTTTTTAACTACAGTGTTTTGTTACTTCATTGAAAAGCGTTTCTAAAACATTTGTCTTTTTTTTTTTTCAATTAAATTTTGTTTATTTTTTTAAATGTATTAACTTGAATTATTCCTATATTAAAATTTGTTAAAGAGACGTTGTCGTAGAATGTCATCATTTAAAAAAACAAAACAATTTTTATTTTTAATAAAGTTTATTATAAAAATGCACACTTAAACAAATTATATATTATGAATTAAAAAAATATATACAACTGTCATTTATATTAAAAAAAAATAAAAACATCATTAAATTGTTACTTTGTTTAAAAGCGTTTCGCTAATATAAAAACATTTGTTAAGAAGTGTTGATGTAAATAATTTCACTTTTTCAGAATATTTTTCATTTAGCACATTTTTAAAATGTTTTTTGAAATAACTGCGGTCAAATTGTCATAGCAAAATGCAATTTGCCTTGTCATATATATAAGATATATATAAGAAATATATATGTAAGATAGTATATAAGAAATATATATGTATATATACATATATATATATATATATACATATATATACATATATATATATATGTATATATATATATATATATATATATATATATATATATATATATATATATATATATATATATATATATATATATACAGGGCAAATTCGTGAAAAAAAATTTGGGCGGTACCCACTCATTCTGGCGAACTTTAGTGGAAAATTGGCGGTTTTGTATATGTATATTTATATATAAATATAAATATATATATATATAAATTATATATAAATATAAATATATATATATATATATATATATATATATATATATATATATATATATATATATATATATATATATATATATATATATATATATATATATATATATATATATATATATATATATATATATATATATATATATATGAAAAAAGTCTGCTATGAAAGTTTTTCAATACCACTTTCAATCATCTATCAACACAGTTTAATAAATAGTAATCTTCTTTATCTCTTGAAAATGGCTAATATAAGTCCTATATGAAAGTAAAATGCAAGCATTAAATTATCGACCATCTTTTACATCCATACCTTGCAAAGTATTAGAAAAAATTATGTGATAGATTAAAAAATTATTTAGAATCAAATAATCAACAACATGGCTTCTCAAAGAGTAAAAATTGTATAACAATTTTATTAGAATCCTTAGGTTTTATAACATACCAACTAATGATAGGCAATTCAGTAAATTTTTTGTTGTTGTTGTTATTTCACCTCCCCAAGGCCAAGAAGGCCACTACAGACGAGGAGGCTACTTAATTGTGGTTATTACCCTCTCTCAACTCTATAACTCCGAAACATGAACCTTGATGAACAAGGCCGCTGCACGGAGAAACAAGTTGAGCGCGGTACTATCAGGGACGTGGTTTTTATATACCGATTTTCAAAAAGCATTTGATAGAGTGCCTCATAAGAGATTAATATCAAAATTATGTGGTTATGGTATAGAAAATGAAATGCTAAATTGGATAGACATATTTATCAAATAAAAAACAACACAATATAATTGGCGATACAAAATTAGGTTGTTTAGAGGTTCTGAGCGGTTTTCCACAAAGTTCTGTACTTGGACTATTATTGTTCTTGTTATATATCAATGATTTACCTTCTAAAATTAATAATATAAGCAAACTTTATGCAGATGATAACAAAATTATTGCTGTAGTTAACAACCAGGTAGACTCGAAAAGCTTGCAGGACAATGTTAATAATCTAACTGGATGGTCTGGCAAATGGATGATAAATTTCAACATCAACAAATGTAAAATCATGCATTTTGGAGAACATAATAAGAATTTTGAATATTGTATAAAAGAAATTAGGTTCAACTAATGAAAAAAGTCATGGGTGTGTCAAATAGTCAAATGTCAATTGTGTGTCAATTTCAAATGCTATGAAGTGGAATCATCATGTAAATTTTTGTATATAAAGCAAATAGTCAATAAGGTCAATTAATTAAATCATTTACTTACATGGAAAAAAACATAATGAAGGTTTTTACGGAATTAAGGTACCTACCCTATGAAGAAAGGTTAAAACAACTCCAACTGGCTTCCTTAAAAACCAGGAGAATAAGAAATGATTTATTTTAATATTATAAGATTTTTCATAATTTCAACAAAGTGTTTTGGTATCAAAAACCAAAAACTGCAATTTCTATTTCAGTAAATGGCCCAGTTGCAAATATTAGAGGACATAAACGTGTAGATATTGAGCTAATAAAAGTAAACCGATCAAGGGAAAATTTTCTGACAATCAGAGTTGCAAGATGGTGGAATAAACTACCAGAAGAACTCTTTTCTGCCAAAAGTGTAAAAATCTTTAAGTACAAGCTTGATAAACATATGGATATTATTAAACTCTAATCTCTATAAATATTTCGAAACTGTAATTAGAATAGGCTCATAATAATCTCAAGGAGCATAAATAAATTTTATATATATATATATATATATATATATATATATATATATATATATATATATATATATATATATATATATATATATATATATATAAATGGAGGAATATATATATATATATATATATATATATATATATATATATATATATATATATATATATATATATATATATATATATATATATATATATATATATATATATATATATGTATATATATATATATATATATATATATATATATATATATATATATATATATATATATATATATATATATATATATATATATATATTGCTCCAGATAACACTATTATAAAAATGGCATTACCAAATAATCATATATTATTCATATAAGTGTAAATACACATAAGTAATCATGTATTTCTAGGCTTTGCTGAAATTTACAGTTTTCTATTTCAAGATGCAGTACAAGGTTTCCATTGGAACAACAGTCAAGAAACATTGCATCTTTTTGTTATTTACTATATGGAAGAAAATCAGATAAAATGCAAAAGTGTTAGTTTCATCTCAGATCATTTGCAACACAATAGAAACTCAGTTAGTTGTTTCATTTATAAAGTAATAAAACATTTAAAAGAGTTTATGCTTTACTTTAACTATTGCATTTATTTGCGTGATGGTGTAGGTTTACAATAAAAAAATTATTAAAAAATATCTAACCTGTATCACCATCAACAAGATTATGAGGTATCTGCAGAATGGCATTTTTTTGCTACATCACAGAAAAGACTGCTTGTGATGGCACTGGGTGCTCTGTCAAAAGATGGGTCATTTTGCAGTTACTAACAGATCATATCAATTTACCTGAGAAAATGTATGATTTGTGTAGACATAATATCAAAGAAATACATTTTCAATAGATTTCAAATGATGCATTTGTATTACTGTGCATAAAGTTTATATTAGAAAAACATTATACTACTAGTTCAACAATTCTAGAAACAATTATTTTATACCACAATCATTAACTTCTTTACAGATAAGATGTGTCATTTTACAATTTGTATACTCGTGGGAATGTTTCTATAATGCAGCTTCTTATTCACCAGGAAATAATATAGCATGTATTTATGATGCAAAATGGTTTATAGGCAATATTGTGGAAATATCTTAAGAAAATCAAGATATTCTTATCAAGTTCATGAAGCAGTCTATTTCCTTAAATACTTTTACTTAGCCACATAAAAATGATATTTGCTGGGTTCCCATAATGTGCTTTTTATGCAAAATTTCATCTTTAAAAGTTAGCAACTGGTAGATGCTATGAACTAGCAGTTTAAGAAAAAACTGAAATAACATAATTAAATAATAACATAAAAAAGTTGTTATAAATTTGATTTACTTGTTTTAAATTTTTATAGTTATTTATCAAAAATTGATTTTAAAGCATATTTATTTAAAAGGTTCAATGTTTATATTGATTGTTTATTACATAATAATATTTTTTATTATATAATCAACTTGTGCATTGTGTTGAAATAACTAGTCAAATAACTCCTATAATGAGTTGTAACCTAAATTTAAACATGCTAATCAAGTAAAAATCAAATAAATAAGGCGGGGTAGAGTAATGAAGGAATTGGAAAAATGTTACAAAAGTTATAGTCATGTCATTAAATAGTAAGGAAATTAGACTTGACGTTTTTCTCTTCATTTTTATCTAATAAGCTACTAATAAATTTATATGCAGTCTTTACTAACATTACAAACTCAATTTTTATGTGATCAATGTCACAGCTATTAAATATGTATGTTTAGTAGTGTGTTTGTGCATAAAGGCACTCCATGCATCAGACATAAAACCAGAAACACACTGTGTAAGGAGAAATGTTCAATTACAATTTTTCCAAGCTCTGAGCAAAAATGTGCATTTTAAAAAGTAAATGAATGGGGAGGGGGTTTATGAGGACTAGGTCTATTTAAAAACTGAGTTTATTTCAGGCTTATTTCAAGACTTATTTCTTGTACAGAGTATAAAATACTTTTACATATACACGTCTTTTCACTTTTTAATTTGCAGATTTGTTATATTGACTCATCAAAAATCAACTTTCTATATTTGCAAACAATTTTTTAGTTTTTAATGAAAGTTTTCTTTTATTAAAAACTAAAAAATTGTTTTTTTTTTAGTTTTTAATGAAAGAAAGACTACTTTCATTAAAAAATTCTAATTTAGTCTTTCCATATATTAGCTATATCATTATCTCCAGCCGTTCTTCCCACACTAGCAACATGAACAATTCGAACAATATATACAGTCAGCCGTTCTTCCCACACATGACTTACAGCTTTATTGTTGCTGATACACTTTATACTGCTCCAGAACATTTTTTGAATCTATGTTATAATGTTTTTCTGCATGTGTGCTCTTTAATTCTTTCAGTATATTTTAGCTTCCTAAGAAGATTTCTTACGAATGCTTCTCTAGCAATAATACAAAATTATTCCAACCAATCAAATTCAAAATTTACTTTGTTACCCTCATTATGTGGTATAGTGTTAGTTACAACAAATTGAATACAATTTAGGAGATCACTATAAAATAAGTCAATATAAGCAGCTGCTTTATATGTTTCTACTTGTTTCTGACTTCAGTAAACAAGTTAAATGGTACATGGGTGTAATGTTTAATCTTTTTTAAAAAAGGACATAACTTACCATTAAATGCCTGCCATTTAAGAGTACCACTATACAATTTTAGATAAGGTTGTTATTTATTTATTTTAGTTGTGCTTTCTAATGAGCAAGAAAGAGAGAATGTTATTTGTTTATGATCAGATAATATAACATCTTTCAGAAGTATTTATTATAAGATTATCAATTGTTGGACTGCACTGAATGTGATCCGAGAGATATGATTTCTATCATCACTGACATATGTGAAGGCATTAAATAGTTAATATCAGATTTTATCAGAATAACTTCTGTTGTGAGATTTGAAAACCCACCAAAAAATCTAGACCCTTCCTCACTATAAAAGTTGCCAGCAATAATAATGTGGATGCTTCATTTATAGTAGATTTTATTTTTGAACATAAATTGTAATTATGAAATGTAATTATAAAAACTATGCTCATCATTACAATTTGTTGGCATGTATAAATTTGTTGTATAAATTTAGCAACAGTATAGAACTTATATTTGATACAATTTTTAAACATGAGATTCTAGATTCATGAGTTTAAACAATATAAATACTTTTAGCGAGATTTTTACAAGAGGCTGTTCCTCCATATGGTCTTCCAATCATTGAATGAGATAAAATACTAACACCAGATAAGCCAGTATTGTAATATTCATGATAAATATTAACAAACCAATCTCATAATATAGCATATTTGTTACACATATTCTTTATAGCAAAAACATAATTTTAAAAGAGTGACAGTTAAAGAAACTTAATGAAAAGCTATTATTTTTAGCCATTGTTTTTGCAAAATTTTTTTACAAGTAAATCATTTTTCCAGACTTCAGTAGAAATTAAACAATCTACTTTACTTTTAACTACTTTACTTTTTAACAGTGGTAGACAGAAACAGTTATATTATACAAAGAGTATCCAGGATATTTTGACTTTATTTTCTCACATTTTACAAATTTTTAATTTGCAAAATATCACTGCTATAATCAATTACATCTTTCGTTGTAGTCTGTAGAGAATCTAGTTAGAAAACAAAAATATTATAATTTTATTAGGTAGATTATCTGTGTGTGTGTGTGTGTGTGTGTGTGTGTGTGTGTGTGTGTGTGTGTGTGTGTGTGTGTGTGTATGAGTAGTACAATGTATTAATAGTATAATGTATTAATGGTTTTTATTTACTTTTTTTTTTTACAAAAATTGCATATTTAACTTTTTTTGTAGTTTTGATGGAAATTCGAAAATTGCTGTTTTTATTTCAACAGTGTGGAAATACATTGGGAATGAAACATTCACTCAAGAAAATGTTACAAACTTAAGTAAATCTGGAAGTCTTCTTGATATAACACTTAATTTAAAATGGAAAAAATTATCAGAAGAGCTAACCAAAGAAATAAACAAAGATAGATTATGGTATCTAAGTAAGTAAAAAGATTTTTAACTCTTAAGTGAATTCCATAAAAGTGAAAGTGAAAGTTTTATTAAAAAAATCGTGCAACTGTTGTAAATTTTTTCGATGTGATTTTATTTTTATTAAGCTTTTAGATCATCAGCTTCTTTATTAATTATTCTCTCAAAGACAGAAGTTTGGTAACGAGTTTAATTATCACCATTTTATCGTTTCATTTTATTTTACTTCATTTAATTTTATTTTTTCATTGTTTATTGTTGTCTTCTATATTGTCATACAAATATAAAATCTTTTTTTTCAACTCTAACTAAATTTCTTTCCATTAAACAAAATAAAATACAAAATTGTTTATTAAACAGACAAAAATGATTTTAGATTTACTTTAGTAAATTTATTTCATCTTTACTTTTTTTACTTGGTTGGTTTTGCTTTTTTTTTGTTTTTACAAATGATGTAAATTTATTACAAATTTGATTATTGTAAATTTTCTAATGTGAAAACACTTGATTATTTCAAATACCTGTAATCATTGTACACAGTTTGTAGGTTTCTACTCTACTGAAAATATTGTACACAGTTTGTAGGTTTCAACTCTTCTTAAAATATTGTACACAGTTTGTAGGTTTATATTAGACCTTTAAGTCTCTTTTTCAGTTTGATAAACATTTAGAAAATAACTAGATAAATGAGATTAGAATAAATATAAAAAAGAGATTTGATTCTGATGTTTAAAATTTTTAAAGATAATAATTTTGTTGTGTAATTGGTTAATTTTTAAATCTCACTAAGAAACCAAAGGTCATAGCCTGAAATATTCAAGAGAGATATTTAAATATTTCATACATTTAATATTTAAAACCAGTTTCAAAGAATATAATAATAATTTTATGGGATAGTGGTTTAGTGGTAGAGCCTTGTAAACTAGAAGTGTTGACTTTGATCCCTACTCTGACTTTGATAGTACTGCACTCAACTCTCTGTATATTGACCTTGTTTTTCAAGGTTTTTGTTTCAAAGTAAAGAAGTTAAGAGAGAGAGAGTTGGAACTCAATGGAAAAAAAAAGAGTAGCTTTTTAATTTTAGTGGCCCTTCTCGGTCTTAGGGAGGTGAAAACAATTTTAAAAAATTAAACAAAAAAATTTATTAGTGTGGTTAGAATTCCTGTTTTAGAAATGAGAAGTCTGTGGTTTAATGCCAGCTCTGACCATATTTTCAACAAAATAAGAAAGAAGAACCTCCTAGTTAAATTATGTGGTGCTCTGTGAAAAGACCCTAATTTTCTCCTGAGTACCTTAATGACAAGTATTTAAAGTTTTTTTTTTGTTTAAAAGTTATAGATAGTAATTTTCATAAAGATTCAAATATTGAAGCAAACAGATATAATTTAAAAAAAATAAGAAATATATTAAAATTTAAATAAATAGATTATAAATCTAAAGATTTTTATTACAGATGAACACATGTGCTATTATCAAGGTTCAATAACTAAACTAGTTGGCAACAAGTGCACAATACCTTATACAGAAATAATAGAGTATTATTATAACCTGTGGCAAACTGTTAATATGTCTCCTCAATTTTTCAATGGAAACAGAATCAGAGTAACAAATGATGAAAACTTAAAAAATAATCCTCCATGTTTTGATAACAAAGTTTATGGAAATCCAAGTTTTTCTAAAGTAGTGAACGATATTGAAACATACAATTTAATAAACAAATCATTTCCTTTTCGCATACCTACCTGCAAGGTAAATTTAATAAATATTGTTTTTAAATTTGGTGTTTATTTTGTTATATATATGACACATTTTCCAATTTTGAATTGAATAAATATTTTATTTTAATTTTAATAATTCAAGCAAGCTTACAAATTCACAATTTGTGGTGTTGGAGCATGTTTCTATTGAACAATCTCTAGTTTATTTTCATTTCTTTTCAATTATCTTCACTTCCAACAAGGCTGCAAGCAACCATTATTAGAATTGGAAGTTACTGGTAGAAAAAAGATAAAGTTTATAAAGCAAGATAAAACAGGCTACTTAAAAGATTACAAATTATATGAATCAGGAAAATATGAGGGAGTGAATTCCAAATAACTGATGTGACAATCGTTGAAGGTTGGCTGCAAGAATAGGTCCAACTATGTTTATCATGCGATTTTGCACCTTGTCTAAAAGAGAAAGGGCGTCATTCACAGATTTGCTTCATATATGGCAACAGTAACCCATACAAAGGTGAATTAGAGATTTATAGAGATAAAAAATAGAATACGGAGTAATAAAATGGCGAGCATTTTAAAGAGATGCAACTAAGTATATAGTTTCCAAGAATAATAGGAAGTTAAAGTTAATCCTAAAAGACAAAGGCTAGATGAATCATCAATTACATTACTGTTCATAAATATAAGACAATCTAGATTATTGTGATAATGATTAGGTGTAAAATTGTTTATCAGAGTTAAATTCACCAGCCACTAAGATCCTCATGCTGTAGCAGAAGTTAATTATAATGGTACATAAGGAAAAATAAGTAAAAATTAAGACTCAAAAATATTATCTGAAAAGATTGCAACATTAAAAATAATTTGATACAAAAAAAAAGTTTCCTATTTAACTTCATTTGAATGTTTTAGGTAATATTTTATCAATAACCCTTTTTTAATTTCATCCTTTTCAAGCTCAAGTGCTCCCTCCAGAGAGTGTTTTCTTATCAAGACAAGAATAAATTGGAGTATCATCAATGAACAATGTTACCTAAAATGTGAGAATTTTTGGGAGGTTGTTAAATTAAATGAAAAAAAGTGTAGAGCCAAGGATAGCACCTTGAGGAGCTCCTGAAATTACAAGAAATGAAGAAGATTGCTGTCCATCAAGTACAACTTTTATACTACGATTGTTAAGGAAGGATTAAATAATTATAAGGATGTTACCTGATACATCCTAGAAGGAAAACTTTTTTAAATGCTTTGGTGTTAGGCTAAACTTTTTTACAATGGTCTCTAGCAATGGTAAATAAACGTCTGTTTTCTGGAGAATTGTTTTGGGGATAGATATACAAGTAATGGTTACAATGGGATATTGCAGCAGCACAATGAGAGGAAAACTATGGAGATGAGTGAGACTTTACTTGGAATTGTTGAGAGAAAATAAAAGATTCCATGTCTTTCTTAATCCAAAAAATTACATAAGAAGCACATTTGTCAGCAGGAAGATTAATGATTTCACACAAAGAAAATCACACAAAAAGTCTCAGTCAGCTCAGTCTCAGTACTCAGTCGTAAGATAAGTCGTAAGGTAGTTGTAAGAGGTACAATAATAGGGGGATTATTTTAATGAAGAAGAATGAGAAAATAGTTTTAGAGAGATAAAACCGTGATCAGAAGCATCTAAGGGTGAATGAGGAGAAACTGAGTACTGACTAGGATCAGAAGCAAGACATATGTTGCATAAAGAAGGTAAATGATTCAGATTGTCTGGAAATTGAGTTGGAAAGTTGAGTATTGAAAGTTATGTTAAAGTATGAAAGTTGTGTTAAAGATCAAAGAAGGCAAATGTTGTGGGAAATATCTGTTGGGCATTGAAAATCGCAGGCAACAATATCCTGATTTTGACAAAAAGAATTCTCAGACAATGAAACAACCTTATTACCATTCAAAAAGAGCGATTTTTAATTTTGGGATTCTTATCTTATATTTTGTTTATAATTGTTAACCAAAAATGCAAAACTAGCTTGGTTAAACTGGATAGTTTAGCCTATATTATGCAAACTGCTACTTGCAATATATACTATATTATCCAGTTTAACTAAGCTTGTGTTTAAACTTAAAAAAAAAAAATTTTAAACAGAATATTGGGGCTTATCTTTAGAGGCTCTAAAATAGTTATTAAAATTTAATAAAAATATTTTTTTCGCATTGTACATGAACACTAGAATGGGAAAAATTGTATTTGTATATATATATATATATATATATATATATATATATATATATATATATATATATATATATATATATATATATATATATATATATATATATATATATATATATATATATATATATATATATATGTATATATATATATATATATATATATATATATATATATATATATGTATGTATAAATGTGTATTTATATATATATATATACATATTATATTATTTAAATGCTCTTACTTGTCTTAAATAAACCTACATATGATTGTAGGTTTATTTAAGACAAGTAAGAGCATTTAAAACATTCTTACCAGACTGTGCTGTGTGGTACTTTGTGGAATCAATTGAGACCCAACTTTTCTGAAATCTTTTAAAGAGTGATATGTCAGGTCCACTTGAAGGGCCAAGACACAACAAAATTACTGCTTCCAAAATAATTTCCAGAATGTGGTGACGACATGCCAACCACAACATCTTTCCCAAACTTCTGCTCTAGAAGTATGCAAGCCCCATTTCTTGGCCCAGTATTGGCTACAGTAGTATCAAAGCACATGCACTTTACTTGATCGTTAATTTCCCATGCCACTGACACATCATGCACTGCAGATGTCACATTTTTATCTGTTCCTGATGGTAGTTTCGGGACACTAAGAAGCTGCTGCACTCCTACTCCAGATACTAGAATTGGAAGTCAGTCAACAGTTTCTTTACCCGTGATTGTCAGCGAGTAATCTTCCATCCCAATGAATACATAAAGGAACTTCTGGTTTGAATTCCTTCCTTAAACCTTTTGTTATCTTCTTGCGGTGTTTTATTCGTTCCTTTTGAATGAAAGCTGGATTAAGATTATACTGTGTTGGATCATGACCAAAAAGTTGTAATGCCGGTGTTAACACAAGTGTCGCCCCACGATCACTCAATTTAGCCACATCTAAATTAGCCCACAACTTCTCATTCAGTATTATTTTCCTGCCACGTCTAGGATGCTTTGGAGCCGGTGTACCGGAAGTTGATGGCTCAGGGTCATCTTGGTTACCAGGCAAGGCATCTTCTTGAGTTACGCTATCTTCTTTAGGGTTATCTTCACCTTTAGATGATGATGTAAAAACAACTGTTTCTTCTTGAGATTTCCTTGCCATCTCCTCTCTGTCGCTTTTTCGGTTCATTTCTTTTTGTCTTTTTCTTGATACTTCTCCTTGCTTTGCCAATTTCTTATCGATTGGACCCATTTTGTCTCTCCGAATTTTCTTTCTTTGGCATAATAGGAAGTCCTTATCCTGAGTCCTTATCCTTATATCTGTATAAATATATATATATATATATATATATATATATATATATATATATATATATATATATATATATATATATATACTCTTGCATGTCTCTTGCGTGGCATCAAAAAAAATTTCCCATAAACTGTAGTTTTAAAGAGCGCGTTAATAAACCAGACCAGAAAAAGTTTTAAAAATTTAAAAATTAAATTTTTTTTTTTAATTGATAGACTGCCTGGCCAAACCAAACCCTTAGTCGATGTAGCAGCACTCTCTTGCGAGTCAGGCTATTTGTCAGTCGTTGTAGCAGCACTCCCTTGCGAGTCAGGCTATTTGTCAGTCGATGTAGCAGCATTCCCTTGCGAGTCAGGCTATTTGTCAGTCGATGTAGCAGCACTCCGTTGCGAGTCAGGCTATTTGTCAGTCGATGTAGCAGCACTCCGTTGCGAGTCAGGCTATAAGATAGTCGATGTAGCAACATTTACGCATGTTTTAAAAATGTTTTTTATTAAATCAATAACAAAAACACTACTAATTAAAAAAAACTTTCTAGTCGTTATAATTGCGGTTTTTTAAAGAATTTTTAAAAAACAATTAAATTTAATGTACTTCCGCATAAATTAATTGCTTTGACATTTCGATGACAATCAAAAACAGCTTAAGAGACGAGGTAATTAAAATTGTAGTCGTAAGAGACTTTTTTTACATTAAAACGCTCTTTCGACTACACTATAAGGGTATATATATATATATATATATATATATATATATATATATATATATATATATATATATATATTTATATATATATATATATATATATATATATATATATATATATATATATATATATATATATATATATATATATATGTATACATATATATATGTATACATATATATATGTATATATATATATATATATATATATATATATATATATATATATATATATATATATATATATATATATATATATATATATATATATATGCATAATATTGCAGTAGTTGGAGACAGTTAAAATATGATTAAAATTTTGAGAGATGAAGAATTGCTTGCCCATTTAATTTTTAAGATTTAGTTAAAATGCAGCTGTGTCAATTCTTGAATCCATAAACATATTGGGATGCTTCTGACACACGTTTTACTACTCACTCAACACTCTGAGAGTGAGATGGAAAGTTGGGGATTTCAGGTTTTACATTATTGTCAATCATATATTGGATTTACTCAATTAAAAAAATGTTGTGTTGTATGGGGCTCTGTATCTTTTGTAATGCTGATGTCAACCAACTCATACCAATGATTAGCATTAAAATTAATTTCCGGAGTTTTCTTCAAATTTACATTTAAACTTTCGTTGTTTACTCTATAAATATAAACCAAAGCCAATTACCACATTTAATGTATCATTTTTTTTCAAAACTTTATTTAAGTTAACTATAAAAAATACCTTTGCCATCGAGCCAGTAGGGTTTGAAAACCAAAGTTTCATATCTTGCTGTCATAATCTTTTAGAATGACATAAAGAATA